ACAGGATCTCGTCTCTGCTTTTTGCAGACGACATTGTACTGTTGGCCCCATCAAACCAGGACCTCCAGCATGCACTGGGGCGGTTTGCAGCCGAGTGTGAAGCGGCTGGGGTGGGAATCAGCACCTCCAAATCCGAGGCCATGGTTCTCAGTCGGAAAAGGGTGGCTTGTTCCCTTCAGGTTGGTGGAGAGTTCCTGCCTCAAGTGGAGGAGTTCAAGTATCTTGGGGTCTTGTTCACGAGTGAGGGAAGGATGGAATGGGAGATTGACAGTATGTACATACCTTCCGTATACTGTAAATAAGTGATTGGCGTTTTGTGTCATAAATAATCTGTGTATGGCGGTTCAACAGCTAAAATCTGTTTAAGTGTTTATTAAAATGTCGTTGGTCATTTTTACTGCGCTAACCTTGCATCTGCTCTTTTTATTTCATCGGCTGTTTGCATGTTGGAGAGCAGTCTTTCAGAATTAGTTTAATGATATTGTCTGACTTGGTTTAACACCCTGGTTCAAGTTCTTGTAGTTTGTAAACATTTAAATCTGAATTTTCAGGTACAACAAAACTAAAACATCTGAGAAAGAATGAAGTTTTTAGCTAGGATAACTTTTTATTGTGTTAGTTTCCATTGCCATAAATTTCCATTGCTATGCAGATGATACTCAGTTATATTTATCTATGAAGCCAAATGAATCAGGTCAGCTGGTCAAACTTCAAGCATGTCTTAAAGACATAAAGGCCTGGATGACCTGCAACTTCTTACTTCTAAACTCTGACAAAACTGAAGTTATTGTGCTTGGGCCTGAAAACCTTAGAAATCTGCTGTCTAATCATATAGTTACTTTAGATGACATAGCTCTTGCCTCCAGTACTACTGTGAGGAACCTTGGAGTCATCTTTGATCAGAATATGTCCTTTAAATCACACAAAAGCTAAGTCTCTAGATCTGCCTTCTTTCACCTGCCCAATATTGCAAAAATCAGGAGCATCCTGTCCCAAAGTGATGCTGAAAAACTGGTCCATGCATTTGTTACTTCCAGGCCAGACTACTGTAACTCTTTACTATCAGGATCTCCCAATAATTCCCCAAAAAGCCTCCAGTTAATCCAAAATGCGGCAGCCAGAGTACTGACAGGAACTAGCAAGAGAGATCATATCTCTCCCATATTAGCTTCTCTCCACTGGCTCCCTGTAAAAT